TCTTTTAATCAGTCTTTTTTTTTGGACCTTGGTAGAATCGTCATCATTCGTTGCCTTGTTTGCTTGCAAATGACGAGCTGTAGTTTCTAGCTCCACAACGTCATGGTTCCAGCTGGAGAGTTGCCACATCGTGCTTTCTTCCAGTTGTCACCATACTCACTAAGGAAATGAGTGGTTATATCACAAAACTCAAACATTTTGTCTGTATCCATTATAGGCTCCACCTCCGATGTTTGCGATTCCGTAACACAAAGTGACAGCAAAATTTAAACTGGAATTCAAAATGTATTGAATTGATGCAAAGTATCAAAAGGCTTATATGTTTTGAACTGCTCTGTTTGTGTGCAGTTGTAAGAAAATAATGCACACCCTTAGAATGTCCCTTGACCAATCAGAACTGAGTACTCAACACGGCTGTGGTATAACTTGATACAATGTGAAACCAAAGCCAACATGCATTTAGTCTAAAGCTGTGCTGCACATTCTCACATGTCCTCGGGCAAATTAAGTTCACCCAAAATTATACAGGCCCAGCCACTGGGTACCTTCTGCTTCTGCCACTGGTTGCAGAGTGCATAAAATATGGTTTGTGCAAAAGACACTAACATGTAGCCGCTAATTCCTTTCTTTCCCTGAGCATGAATATGGCTATGACCTGGCATATAGACTACCACTCCCCAGTAGGCGTTTGTGGGATACATTTGGAATTCCTCCAGGCCTGGGTCACTGCAGCTAGCATCTATTGGCTTTGACTGCTACAACAGCAATTATGGCATTTATGGCTGACTGCGTCAGCTTTTAAAGCTTAAATATTATTAAAATTCAGAAGCAATTCTTTACTATCAACCAGTGTCGAAGAATAGGTATAAAAAAGACATTTGTGTTTATGCCACAAATATCCCCATCTGGCCACTAGAGGCACTAAAAAAGTCAAATCTTCACATTATCTTAAATGGTCCATTCGGGTGTGCATGGCAAATGAACTATCTGACGTTTAGGTGTGAAGAAATGTTGGAGATCCATCTCCATCAAAGATAGCTTTGCCACTACCTACTCTTTATCTATCTCTTGTTCTCTAGCTATGGTGCAATTTGCATGTGCTTAGCTGAAGCTTATTATGCCTTTTAGTACTAACTTAGTTTGTTATTTCCAGGTAAGTACCTCTCAGTGATTTTTCTGTCCTCTGCTTCAAGATCCATCTCATTTATGCTCTGAACTGCCTCACATTTTCTAGGGAGCATATTACATAACTGCAAATTCATTACAATCCGTGTTTGTTTCTACTTTGGATTCACCTGTGTTGCACAATCTCTGTTTTGGCAAGAATATATCACTTGCACTTAGCTGGCGCTAGGTTTTGTTCATTATGTCTTCTCATCCAAATCTACTTGCGTTTCTCTCTGGGTGTGTACATCCTGATTAATCCAGGCATGTGCTAGGACATTTCTCAACTTAATTATGTACAGCTTCAGCACAATCTGCTCTGTGTCCATTTCATGTTCTTCAATGTCAGGGCAACTTATTTGCGCTCAGCTTGAGCTGGCTGGAAATTTGTTTCAATACTTTTCTAGTATTTATTTCTCATTCATTAGTGTGGCACAATTGTCTTTGGGAAATTAGAATCACATGCGCTTAACCAACGTTATGGTTTGTTACGTCTTATGAGGTTAATATGTCTTGGGATGTTAATTTATCGTGTTTGTTTCCAGGTAAGTACTTTGACTCCAGTCCGCTGCCTCAAGATCATTCTTTCTGGGGATGCTGCCTGCTGGTCTGGCAAATCTGTGCTCCTTATTACCAGATAGTCAGGATGGAGGAAGTCTTCACCAGAATGATTATTGTGTCAAATCACTCACAACCACTTAAAACACTCTTTGCTTGCCTGCGGAGAATGGGCTCCCCACTATAGCACAGTTCCTCTTGATATTTATTCACGTTAGGGAGTTTTTATTGCACAATTTTTCTCTCAACTGATGTTTGTACCTTATATGCTATTTTGGGAACGTATGCTGTATATGTGCCCTACTACTTCTCTAAAAAATTCTAGTGCAATATAAATTATTTTTTAATTCTTGTTCAATTCACTCTTGTTAACAAGTCTTTTCAACTTTATTTTCTGGAATCTGATTGAATGAGTGAAAACAAAAGTTCAACAAGAGCACTCAGCACATACCTCCGCCAAAGCCCAACAGTGCCCCACACGTTTTGAACACATTCGAGTAGCAGATCCCTTTCGAAAATCCTGTTTTTGCCCATCAGATCCACATGAGACATTAGATCCGGATGATATTCTAATATCTGGTAGCCCTCATCAAGAAGGGTTCCCCTGAATGTTAATATCTTAGACCTATGAGCATTTCTGAAGTTATATTCATATTATATTCAGCAAAAATAGCTGAAAGTGGCCTCATCTCTCTATGGTGAAGAATTCTCTCAAAAATTCCATGATCCAGAATTTGAGCTGGATCACTCCCAAAATGAAATCACTTCTAAGTTGTGCCAAGACACACCGCACCAAATCTGTCCATAACTTTTTTTGTAATGTGGCAGACAAACATTCTCACCCGCAAACCGAAGGTATAACATAACCTCCTTGGTGGAGGTAATAACAGAGATGTCAGATGGTGAAGTAAGTGTATTCAGACAATTGATCATCTGCATTGGGAAGTTAAGGCCCATAATTAATAATTATGGGCTGCTTTCAGAGATCACGCATCATCCACCACCACCATCTTCTAACTCTGCCCTTCGTCAGCCATCAGTCCTGTCATTCTCACTCTGACCAACAGACCCTTCGCTCCTCCATGCCAGAGGGTCAGCTGGCTAGCTATGTGAATTTTGACTGGTTGTAATTGATTGGAAACAAAATTTTCTGGCAATGACTCTGTCCTTCCTGGCAAGTTCAATTGAAGCAAATTTAAAGATACACTTCTTAATTAATCTTCCAAACTTTAATTTCAGAGTCTGTGATTGAATTGCCTGTTGGCTATGGCTGTGATGCAGTTTCACCAAAACAGTGGTATTAATATGGCCATAATTTTACTACATCACTTTCACTGCTAGTATTTTGCTCTTAATCAAACACTTGACCACACAATTTTGCAGGTGAAATTCACGCCCTGAAACAAAAGGGGGGAAAAAAAGTCATGCAATGGAAGTCAGGTTTATATCCATGCAAAATGCCTGGAAAGCAGCATAGTTCATTCCACTTTTCATTGTTTGTCAAGGACTTAAATTACTCCCCACCAACATCTAGTAAACGCAATAGTTCATGTAAACTTTTGATGAATAGCAAAACCTTTATACATGCCATGGTTTAATGTTTTTTCAATCATGCTATTTCCTGTCTGTTTTTTTAAAGGATGAAGTAAACGAAAGTACTCTGGTGGTGAGCCCTGAGTATAAAGAACTGACTAAGCTGAAGCGAACTGGAACTATTAAAGCGAAGAACTTGAAATCCAAGTTTGAGAAGATCAAGCAATTAAAAGAAGAGGAGATCCAAAAAAAGATTGAAGAGGAAAGGGAACGGAGGAAGGCGATTGACGAAGAAATCAAAGAAAGGGAAGCTGAAAGATTTCAGGAGGTATGCTCGCGCTTCCTGCCATTTTTATACAGTTTGTGGCAGAATTATTGCCAGCCAAAGTATAAAAAATACTTAATATTGTTTAAAAAAACAATGTATAATACATATGTTTGGTTATGATGTAACCTTGTAAAAACATTGAATAGTTTTTTTTTTTGTGATACCTTGTGAGCTAAGTGTTGAATCAACGGTCCATGAATGCTAAAAATCAATTCAAACCAACATTTAAAACTTTCTAATTGAATGTAATCCCAAAATATTATGTTTATGAGATCACCTAACATGAAAGATTTACCCATTGATGTCAGAAGTACTGGGTTTTTGTAAACAATGGGTCCTCGAGCCCCGTTGAAGCAATACAGTTTTCCTTGGAGAGGTGAAATTTTCATTGCAAATATAAATTGGTGAGTATCAAAAATGGAGAATACTTCTTGACATGATGTGGTAGCATTGTGACCCTGTTGAGGCTATGAGCTCTAACTAAGTGCTATTCTAGTATTTTTTTCTATGAACTGTTGGTGTCAAAATTACGAGAACCCCTAACACTTGTAACTGGTAGTTTTTGTAAGTAAAATTCAAAGTTACATTTTTTTCACTTAGCAGTCTCACCCCAATCACACCTTCCGGTAGGGTGTAACGTGGAGTTAGCATGATTGCCGAATCACATTGTCATCAATATATAGGATAACGCAAATTAATTCAATTCAAAAGAGAATTATGGCACTTGACCTTCACTAGTGTAATTTGTGCAAAAATATGGAAATTTTTAAGCAAGCTACTCAGCATTTTAAAGGCATGGCATGTTCACAAACTTACCTGAGAAAGACTGCAAGTGACTGTAATCCCCACAGATGGTAAGGAAAATTGCCAATCAATCTTCAAGCTTGGGGTGACTAACACTGAAAACCGTAGTTGCTGCCTTCATATAGACTGAATTGAACTGAAGACATAAGGCCACAGAACATGAAAATTTGTTATTAAAATAAACATCTCAAAAATAAGGCTTACATAGCAGATTACCATATTCTTCTTGTTCACTAAATAATAAACTACTTGGACTAGCAGGTGGGGTCTGTGGTACGTATCTATAACCTCAATGAAAACACTAATATTTCATCTTCATGCCAATATCCATGATATACATTCAAGCAGGAACATATTGTTATTTTTATCAAGACACCAATGAATATGGTTTGAGCTGCTTGCAAAAATTTCAGTTGAGCTGTTATCTCCATAATCAAAATGAATCATTGTAATGTCTTGTGTAGGCATGAATGGGCCTAAACATGTGTGAGATTAGTGCATATTAGCTGAAACACCACCTCCAGCTGTGAATGCCTATGTGACAGTTGAAGGGTCCCGTCACTAGAAATGCCTCCTAATAAGTACGCGCCCTGGCCACCTTGCCAATGTGCCTGGCTCTCTGGCGATGTGGTTAGCGCGGGTGACTCTTACCCGGGAGTCTGAGGTTCAATTCCTTGCCTGGGCCCTCCTTTGGCCTGCCACACCTACATTAGAAGTTCTGAACCACATTTGGACCTTAGATATTTTTGTATATAGAGCCAACTATATGAATAATTTTGTCAATGCCAGTTTAAGAATTACCTTCATGAAATAAATCTTTGGAAAATTTTGGCAATAAAAGAACATTCCCTGAGTGAAGGTAAGACCTGCTTTATCAACAGTTTGAGGGCCTTGGCATTTGGCTTAATTGGCTTAAGTGTCTATAAATGAAGTTCATATTCAGACAACTAAATAGGAACCTAATTTTTCCATTTCTGACAAACATCATTTAATTTTGGACCTGCTCTGGGACATTTTGGTAATCTCAGTTGACCTATTTATTATGGTGACACGTAGCTCTTCCAGAAATAAACAATATGTTCAAAGCTGCATGATTTGTAGAATTACCAGTAGATGGATCTATCCATTTAAACCTTTATACTGAACATGACATACAAAATTTCTTTTACTGTTCTTTATTCTTTGACTATAAACAACTGATATGAAAACATCTGAAATTGTTTTAGGACGACGTGGAAGAAGGCAGGAATGTACCTGTCAGAGTGGAAGACGCACCATTCAGACAGAAGGTGGACATGAAAAAACGGTTTGAGCAAATGGCAAAAGCTAGAGAAGAAAAGGAAAGGAAACGGATTGAAGAACAGAAGTTACAGAGAATGCAGTTTGAGCAGCAAGAGATCGATGCTGCCCTCCAGAAAGTAAATGTCCCATCCCATTTATTTCAATTTTAGCTGTTGGATGTCTGAAACATGTCAACTCTCCTTAAAGACATGTACCACAAGTTTTATTGCTCAGGAGTGGGTTTCTGCATAACACTTTCAGGTTTTGGTAAAAAAAAGTCTATTTGATGATGCACTAAAGCAATATTCTCCTCTTTAAGCGGCTTTCCCGAAAACCTTCTTGAAGCAAGTCCTTAAGATGAACTCAAAGAGAGCTAGCTTCCTTGCAACTTTGAATATGGCTTTCATTTTATGGGGTTTATATGTTACAGTCAGATTATGAAACCAGTCATTTCATGAAATTACAAAAAAAGCTTTAGTCATTTTGTGAAATGACTGAATTTTAGTGCTAGCCATTTCATGAAATGACTGAAATTTTTAGTCATTTCTTGAAATGACTGGTTTCCCAATCTAACTTTAACATGTATATAGTATTTTTATAATATTTAATCACAGAATCGACCAAAGGAAAAAGCAGGAACCATGAGGCTACATCATGTAATGTTATTGTTGGCTACGACTGTTTTCAAACATATTAAGCACATGTGTGCATGCAATATGCGCTGCCTCAGTGGACAGCTGTGGGCAGGATCTTTCTTCGTTGGGAATGAGTGATTCAGAGCATTCGCAACAACATTCAAACTAAAGAGACTTTTATTATGAAGGTTTTTGGGAAAGTGATGTTGTTTTGAGACTGTTCATAAAAGCCATTAGAAATTTTAAAAGGCTTCTGCACATCCCACCCCAGCTTTTAAGCTGCTTTCACACTGGACGCGAAACGAATTTTTCGCACGACAGATTACATTCAAAGTCTTTGAATGTAATCTGTCGTGCGAAAAATTTGTTTCGCGTCCAGTGTGAAAGCAGCTTTTACTGACAGTCATCATTTTACAGGAACGAGAAGAGGAGGAAGAGGAAGAGGGCAGCCTGATCAATGGCTCAGCGGCCTATGAAAACGAAGAGGATCAAACTAAATCTGGGGCACCGTGGTTTAAAAAGCCTCTCAAAAACCAGTCGGTGGTCGATGCCGAACCTGTTCGTTTCACTGTTAAAATCGCTGGGGAACCTAAGCCTGAAGTGACCTGGTGGTTTGAGGATGAAATGCTTCAAGACTGTGAGGACTATCAGTACATTGAGAGGGGCGAGACATACTGCCTATACCTGCCTGAGACCTTCCCAGAGGACGGAGGGGAGTACATGTGCAAAGCTGTGAATTGCCGAGGCACTGCTGCCAGTACCTGCTTTCTCACAATTGAAAGTAAGTTCATCTCAACTTTCTGCTGCCAGCCCATTCCCCTTACTTGCACTTTAATTTGTCAATAATTGTTTTTTCTTTTTATCTGATCTCTTTACAGCTGAGGACTACTGATGCCCCACTTTACTGGAACCAACCTGTCCCAAATTTTTCTTAGTAAAATTCTGATCCATCGTTGTAAGGCCAAAATGATATGAAGCAGTTAAACTTCTGTCATTCCTTCAGTGGATATGAACGATTTATGTTGAGCACAACATGAAAGCTGTTTATATATGCTTCTCCAGAATCAGGATCTGAAACTAACTCAGCCTATTATATTTTATCTGTGACAAACAGTATTATTTTCTAATTTCTTGACCTTAAAACAGTGGCTGCCAAACTTGGTCCTGGGCCCTACCCCTTGTATACTGGTCTTTGTTCCAAACACAACTGCGATCATAGGATTTTAAGCTGTTAATTTGTATTACTTGGGTGCGTTTCATATTTTAAAGCAAATATTTACCCTTTTAAACCACATTTTGATGATATCCATGCACCACATGAATACCAGCTATAGGACCTCTGAACATACTGGGCTCATTTCGTGCCTTTGCAAATGAAAATGTAAGTGGCGATAATGTTATTGACAGTTACATCTGTCACAAATGGCATATTTATTGCCTTAGTCCAGTTATAAAGGCATTTGAGTCAAAATGGGGATGTGGAAACTTTATGTCGTCTCAACTTTTTTTTGGGCCAATGTCCCCCTACATCATACTGACCATTGCTGCCGTCCCCCTGACCCAAAATGCACAGGCTATTGTGTTTATTTTTGTAATCATTGTATTGGCTCCTTTTTTACATTATGCACTCATTAATGACAATCTTAATGTGTGGTTAAAGCAAATACGATGCTCTCTCACAGTCTGTAATAAACAAATTAAAACACTATTAAAACAAGGCTGCCTTTGCCAGGGTGCCATGTGAAATCACCGACAAAACACAGAACACTTTACGGCGGGACTACAACTCTTTTTACATATGTCAGGAAAATTCGCTATAACCGAGATAAATTGCAGGTGAAAATAAAATTAATTATAGCTGCGTGTAGTAATCAGACAGGGCCAGGCAGTAGTGGAAAATTGGTGGAAGAAGTGTAGAAGAGGAAAATGAGATGATGACAAGGAGAAGAAGGAGATTTGTAACACTAAAATTGAAAATGTTTATGAGTAAAGTTTTGTTTAAATTGTCTTCGTACTTGGACTCTTCGGAGCTTGAACAACAGCATGTTCATCAGTTGGTTTCATCATTATGAATAACACGTCAGTTGGAAGACTGGAAGACGTATCTTTTCAGAACCACTCAGGGCTTGAAACAGTAACCCTCCATGAGCTAAGTGAAATTATCTAGCCACATGGACAAATCTAGAAATGAGTCAAAATTATCTCACATCAGTGGCAGAATTTTTTTCCCATTAAAATGGTGTAAGAAATAAGTGTTTTAAGTCTAAATACGAGATTTAAATTCTTTGTAAGATTTTGCTTTTGCAGTGCAGTGGCAGTAATGTTAAATGAAATAAAAGACACTAATCTGGTTTGAAAATGATGTTAATGGCTTTGACTCTTTGTTTGGAGGGAATGAGCTATACAGCAACCTTAAAAGTGCAGGTAACATCAGTGGTGCTAGGGCTACTTGTTGGTAGCAGAGCTGCCAGAATCCCCCACCATGAGTGGCACAACCTTTTTGAATAAGGTTGGTCCAAGCTGTACTGGACATGCTGATATGAATGTGGAGCAAGATGCACAGCTGGTGAATATACAGATGACTTTTGATTTATCCATTCAGAAAGCCATGATACACAATGATGCATGCTTTGTAACGGTCAGAAGTAAAACCTGTGTGGTTATAAGACAGGGCAACTACTTCACTGTGTTTGATCCTCATGCCTGCAACCACCAAGGCCTGCTTGATGAATACAAGGAGTAGTGATTCATCACTCAGGTTTTACAGCTGTATATAAACATCTGAGTCATCTTGCCTATCGGCTGACAGCAGGTTTGATGATTTGTCCATGAAACAAGTCTTGTGTAAGCCTAGTATTCAAGCCACAGTTGATGCTCCAGTGAAGTCAAATGGTCTTTTGAACAAACCATTGAATGGTGAAATTTTGAGAGAAAAATGGAAATGCCCCAGAAGTTGTAGTATGTCAATGGAAAAAAATGCTTTGCAAACTTAGTACTTGGCCATAAAGTGGAGCTTCCGCTGACACAAATATTGCTACCAACAGGCCGCTGTAACAGCAAAGTATTCAGGGGTTAAAGGAGCTGTGTCACGATAACTGTGCATGCTCAGAACTTTGAAAACTAACAAAAAATTAAAGGAAATTAATCCACTCGACTGCAAGTCAAAATCTGATTCCATCGCTGCTAATCTGTCTTCATTTTACATTGTATTTATGTATACATTTTAGTAACTCAGACATAATGCTTTTTATATTAAGGAGTTCTCTGAGAATTTGAGGATTAAAAGCACTATTTTAGTGCGTTAGACAAAGGATACGTAGAATATAAAATGGTTTGAAAATGTTTGATTATAAACACCATAGAAAAAGAATATCTAATGTGTAATCATAATCAGCAGCATAGAATAAAAAATTAAGCTCAGGGAAGACAAATGATGAACAGTACAGGGAAAAGCAAATTAAATTTAGCAAAGAAAAATATGATAAAGGTAAGCAGTGCAGGGAAAAGAAAACGGAGCAAAGAAAACTATGCAACTGATGAACAACACCAGAGAAATGTCAGAGACAACAGTAAGCAAAATTATGCAACTGATGAAGAACACTAAAGATCAAAGAGTACAGTAAACACACACATGTAACTGAGGAAGATCCTTTCCCACCTTGGCTAAATAGTTTAAACTTTATAGAACAACATTTGATTGAGAGTCATTAAATTCATGAAATTGTTTTTCTTGCCAAAAGGTGTACAAACTGGTGTCCATTGACCAGTTA